TGCATCTAGGGCCAAATAACCCCATGCAACAGTACAGCTGAGCCCCAACAGGATAAAAAGCAGCTTTGCAGGAGAGGACCTAGGGGTACCAGAGGACAAGAAGCGGAACATAAGTCAGCCATTGGGCTCTTACAGCAAAGAATGCCAACAGCATTGTGGGCTGTATTAGCAAGAGTGTATTCAGCAGGCTGATGGAAGCAATTGTTCCCCTCTCTTTGGCGTGTGTGAGACTGTATCTCGGTGCGAGAGTGCATGTGGAGCACCATGTTCAGTTTTGCTCTCCCCAGTGCAAGAAAGATACAGCCATACTGGAGCAAGTCCAGCTCTTGACTTGCAGCAAAGACTGCCATCAGCGTTCACAACCTAAACTAGTTCATCCCTGTTAGTCAGACTCAAGTGACTCAGTTCAACACACAATTAACCGAGTGAAACGTAGCAGTCCATGACATACACATCAGGTAAGATGATCTAATGGCCTTATATTTTGTGACTATGAAAGAAAAAGAAGATATGACAGAGAACAGCGCACAATTTTTCTTACCCAGAGAATTGGAACAGAAAATTATTTATCCTTAATGTAATCCTATCTCCTTGTTTAGTTGATTTATATAAATTTCCCTCTGCAGAGAGACAGTTCCTGAGAAAGAGGGTTGAGGCATTTTGTCATGTGCCTACATTGTGGTTGGACATCACTTGGTGGATCAGCGCTTCAGTTTTTGGCAGGTCTGTATGTAGCACATAAATTTTTTAAGTTTGTTTAATTGGGTCATCAACCTATCCCTTCAGTGCACCAATGCAACAACTTAATGCCTGAATAAAAGACTGTGGAAAAAATGAGAGATACCGATCATCTCCCAGGTCATTACTTGGAAGCCCCCATTTTCCTGAAGTGTTTATTTGCATTGGTGTGGCAGCAAGCAAAATTGAGTGTTAGTGAGCTGGAGGAGAGCTGTAGTGCCAGGAGCGCTGTTTGTCGTATTAACAATGATGGAAGAACAGCTTGTGCTTAGGGGCACTTCCTAGTTCATTTACATGCATTAAAGCTTTATTTAAAGATCTGTATCCTAGGATCTGATGAAAACATCGAGGACATTATACTAAAATACACTTTATTAACTACCAAAATATTTTCCCTCCATCATCAATAAACAAATTAACAGGATTTACAGATACGTGTACATTTTTATAAATTAATGTACATACATTCATACTTCTCAGCTCTATTTTTTCTACATTTGCATCATGCTGTAACATGTCCAAGTTTTTACAATGCAAAATCAGACAAAGCTCCCAAAATTTTCTTACAAAAGTTAAACACACAGTTGTAGCAACTGTGTTTCCGTGTCTAGGGATCTTCAGCATCTTTTTCTAATTGAAAAGTTGTGAATTTACGTGAGTGTTGAGTATATCACTCCTCTGAAAGACGTCACCAACATCTTTCCACTTCGACCTTCTGTCAGAAATTTCCTATCCAGTCATCTAGAGGCTTAAAGCGAGTAAGGATGCAGTTTAGGCACAGGCACATGACAAACCCTTTTCCAGCTCTGCCACTACCTCTACCATCCTTTCCATTTGCATCCCTCAACTATAAGCCTGCCAGCGCAGGGACCCGCCTTACTTGCTTTAGCTGGACACTGCAAAAAAAAGATCCAGACAATTTGTTTCACACAGGCTGTATGCTTTGCCTCAGACTCTCCCGATCTGATCATGACAGCCATACAGCAAACTCTGCTGTCTGCTACATATTTCATCTTCCCATGATATTACAGCTATAGTTTCTTCCCACACTAAACCTGAATGCAAGGCTGCAAGTGCTAGAAGCCTAGCAGACAGATGCTGCACATCACTGCTCCAGCCTAAATGCCTGAATTCATTCCATTTTTCTTCCCCCATAAAACTTTGGTGGGTTAATTTTGAGTTGGCAGGTCTGCTGCATTCTGCTTGTGCTGTAGTTCTGCTACCTCTCTCCCGCTGGTACCCATAATTTTACCCTACCTCTTAGATTGCCCACTGAAGCTGCTCTTCTCAACTTCTTGAAAGTTTCTGTGGGCAGCAGATTCTGCTTTCTCTTTGGATATCAGTACTATCATTGTGATACCACTACTGCTGGAAGAAACACCTGACCTGCCATGAGGTAACAGCCAGAGCCAGACCCAGAGTTTATGAAAGCCCTGTATTCAGTTGTCTGCAATATCTGTGCTAGAGTCTGGCTTAAGCCAGGTAGTAATCTGGATTTGCTGGATCTCTCCAAAAATCCTAACATGCAGGATTTCCTAACTGGGAACTTCTGTGGTAATGCAATGTACTGCAACACTGCAGTGCAGGAAGCTCAGCGTGGGTAATACTACGAAGAGAGCCTACAAGAAAACCCACCAATGGCCTAGGAACACAGCCAGACATGAGGGACTCTGCAAGAGCAGACTCCAGGCCTCAGGGTGCTTCTGAAAGCTCCAGCCAGCACTCCACCGCCTCTCTCCTGCCCTCTCCCCTTCTTGACCAATGTCGTCCTCCGCCCAAATGAAAAACAATGAGCCTAGCATGAACCTGTACGAATGCTGCCCTATCCGGAATTTCAGCATTTAAGTGATGACTCTCCGCACAAATTGAGTCTCATGGAAGGGGCAAAAAGGTCACTATTGTCATCAAGGTCCACTGGAAGACATCAAGTGTGCATTACCTGCAGACTGCACATAATCAAAGGATGGGTGTCATAAAGGTCCCTAGCTTCTCTATAAATTCTTTAGTGGAACAAAAACTGTTCCAGCCACAACATTTCTGGGTGAGCAGCCCACTGACAGAAGGCTAGAAACAAATTAAAGAATAAAAGCCAGGTCCAGTACAATTATCTTTTGAGGAAGAACTAGAAGCAAGAGGCAGGACAAGCAGAGACCTGCTAAAAAATCCCAATACACAACAGGGCTACCATGAACAAGGTTCATGCAAGGCAACTGGAAGTCGAGACATGCAGTGTAAAATACCAGGCAATACACTCAAACCCGATCCTGCAATAAAGATACTTCATAATCTAGAAGAAGCCATATCAAATCTGCAACCACTCCTCACAATGGATCAAATCTGATCTGTCAGATGATTTCTCTGTACACAAATCCAGCAAAACTACCAGTGAAACGTCATCATTATTCCCAAGATTAGCAAATACTTCTTGACGCTGTCAATAGATCGCATGCAACAGAAATACTGTACATCTTACAAGCCTTCCTCTACACTTGAAGTTAGGTTAATGATGGTAACTACACCACTACCTACTGTTCTAACAACTATATCTTATCTTTTTGCTTTCTAGCACCCGCTTCTGCCTGTCATAAACTTTGCAAAAGGTCTGAATTAGGAATTCACAGAACTAGAGTTGATAGTAACAATAATGAACAGGACCATATTCAACAATGAGACAGAATAGATATCCTTCCGATTTCACTTTTACATACATACCAGCAATAAATTTCACCTGTACAGCATTCTGGTAATAGAAACAATTACGGCCAAGACAAATGCCTCTAAATCCTCAGTAGCTCTCACTAAAACATGAAAAAACAAGTAAGAAACATCAGGAAACTAAAGAAATTCACCTGGTTGCCAGTTCTGTGGTTTTTCTTTTCTGAGGAGATGCCCCAGCGTTGCATGAAATACAGAATTAATGAGTATCTCAGTAAGTTATGAACAGCATAGGACTCGAGACAAAAAGGCAAGTCTACTTCTCAAAAGCTCCTTTGACTTCCCAAGGAGGCTGTCAGTCTAAACAGGAGCAAGATCCTCATTTGAGAAAATACACCTATAATTTAAAGACTAGGGGTTTTTTACTTCTTGGTTGGTGATGTTGTTTTTGTTTTGTTTTTTTTTAAGAATACACACTTGAGGAGGAAATCTGATCTGGAGTGATTATTAAAATTGAAATAAAAAAATATAAACATAAGTAACAGCTTGAGTTTAGACAGTAGGCAAACAAGAGATCTGAAGATCTCTAAAGATATGTAGTCTTGCCATTGTTTCCAAAATAGTGAGGCAAATAGCCATGAAAAAACAGAAGAAATTTTAATAATTTACTACAGCAACTAGCTCATTAGCAATGATGAAAACGTGTTTGGGAAGGATTTTCTTGATCATGTAAAAACAACCACAGAAGTCTTTAAAATAAGTTCCAAAAGAATTTGTCTAAGGTTGCCTCATAAGAGTACCACTCTTCTACCCTTGCAGTTTTTATGTACGATTTGGTGTGAACTGCAAAACATGCCTCTAAAACTGCTGTTTCTTGTAGGAAGCAGGAAATCTATGGAATGTATATGAAGACCTGACATGGATTTAACAGCTACAGTCCTACTTAGTCCTAGATCATTTTACATTATATGGATTCCAGTTTAATTCTCTTGTAACATCACATGGCTGATGTTTTTTGGCCCCATGAAGCCCTGTTTCTGCTTGATGCAGTTTTAATTTAAAAGCTATTTTTATATTTCATAACATAACATAATCTAAGAATTGTATTGAAATCTCTGTAGCTTGTCTCTTCATGTATGAAAATGACATCCCCCTACCATACTGCTTAGCCTTTTGTCTTCTTTCTATCACAAGAGAGCCAACATCTCCTTGCCCATCAACCTGTGCCCCCAAAGCATTTCTTTCAGACTTCACTCTCCAGCAGCATGGCCTAGTAACTTAAAAATAACCATTCTGCTACTTATTGGGTGAAAAAAGTGCCAAGGTCCAGCCTTATGTATCCTGAATATACACTTTCACCAAAAAGGAACAAAGTAACACAGGATTTGGCAAAACTAAGTTAAATGTGGAATTACAAAAATTAGTACATTTTCTAAAGCAATGGAAAGGGACAACTGATCTATTTAAACTCCAAAGAGAAAATAAACCAAAAAGAAAGGATGCAACATCTATCATGGATTTCGTGAAAATCAGCTGTTATTGAAATAATGACTAGTCATTGTCAGAACTTTGTGGATCATCTTTTCTCATAGAAGGCAGTAGACTCCTCAGTAATTTCTTGAATATGTGACTTTGCCAGGTGGACTCCAGGGAGAAGGCACTTCATCCCCATGGACAGCCTGCAACTTCTTTTGCTTCTTCTCAAGCTGCTCTCTCTTCTCTTTCTTTTCCTGAGAATAAAAAAATGTGTCAAAAAAACCCAAACCAAAAACAAAAACAAAAGAAAAAACTAAACAAAAAAACCCAACTCCACCAACAGAAAAGTTACAATTATTGTTATACCTTTCTTGTGCAAAATGGAAAGTTAACATGCCATAGAGATTTGCCTTTTGGAGCTTAGCGCATCCCTTTTAGGGATTCAGTCACACACACTGCACAACACAACCCAAGAGGCTGCACATTTGACATCATTTACGATTAAGGCGACTGTCTGAAGGATGGGCTGGTTTTGTGCACTATCTAAACAAAAAGTCCGACAGAAGGCCTAGTGGATTAGGTACTGTATTTGTCTTGTATGTAGTCAGTCTCATCTTAATTACTTCTTTTCTTTAAGAGGGTACCTAAATCACAATGCTAAATATGTTATTCTCATTAAATGAGAACATTGATGCATCTTTGTAACTTTCTGTACTTATTAAATCACACTTGCCATGTACTAGAACAAACTGGGAATTAAATAGTTTAATTATAAACAAATATCTATCTAACTTATATTATAAACACTGCAAGGTTCTGATGACATTTTCTATTGTTGCAGACAGCAATGGGCAGTTAGGACGATGAAGGACGGATAAACAAGACACTTGTAATATTCTTTTTGTGCCTCATTAAGTAATGATTTTCAAGAGACCTGTCAATCAAATAATAATTTGCAATTATTTATTATTATTTTTTATTTTTTATATTTTTCTGTTCTATATAAAATAAGCATTCTTCCTTGCAAAGATGACTGCCATTTCACCATTGTGAGGACCAGCATCTAGGGGTGCATCTGCATTAGCAATTTAGTACACTGGAGAGTTCTTTATGGGTGCAAATTTTCCTTGTATCATACTTGCAGGTTTATGGTGCACGCTTGAGCACACCACTTACTGACTTAAAGTAGCTTCTCTCTTGGTGGAACCAAGGTTGACATTATGACCAGAGCATCACTTACAGTGCCCCACCTGACAGGTGGATGAAAGGTCCTTGAGCAGCTGGCTTTCCCGGCACATGAACAGTGCATTCACTCCTAGGACCAAGAACTGGCATACACATCATCGGTAGTAAAGATGCAATGTGGATATGCAGGCTTAAAACCACCATCAATGGTGCCAAATCCAACCTTAGTCCTTTCCTCTTTTGCAGCCTATCAGCCAGTATTTTGAAGCACCATAAAAGTTTCATATTTTCACACGTATGAACTGCATTGCAGTGGAAGTACTGCTCCTTGAAGATAACTCATGATCCTATCCCTCTGAGGGACACTGTATATCCTCACATTCCCAAGATCCTAGCAGTGTCTGCCTGTTATTCATAAGTGAGAAGAGAAATAGTGAGGTAACTGTGGCTCAAGGAGTAGACTGGTAAATGGGGGTAGAAGTGTTATTGTAAAAAAGGGACATTTTACACAAAGGGATGTTTTACACATATGCAGCAGTCAAACTGTACTAATGCTAGCTATACATGTAATATGTACAAAAATTAAAAAAATCGTAACATGCACTGAAACATCAAACCTATCAATATGATTTTAATCTGTGCCCTTTATTTGTTAACATAAACCTGAAGATCCAATTCAGTTAGGAATGTCTGGTCTGGCTAAATAAACACACAATTATTTCATGTTGTTAGTAGTAAAGCTGATTAAAAGCAAGGCAAGGTTTGCATGGAGAAGTAATGCTCTTTACTAAAATAAGTGATACAAAAGTTCATCACAGTAAAATAAAAATTATTATCTCTCCATACAAACTGTATCTTTCTGGATTACATGGAGTGATCGAGACAAACTAGGCTTGTAGCACTGTAAGATTCTGCCTCTGTCATCCTACACTTTTGCCTTCTTTCCTCTTCCATAGAGATCTTCCTTGGATGGACACAACTAGTGGCTTTGGATCTTTAGAACAAGTTCAAGATATTTTTTTCAGGGATTCTTAAGGGGAACTGGTTAGTACCCTAAGGGGTGAGGAGTCTGCATTATCAATGAAATTTTTCAAAAAAGACGACAAGATATGTGCAAGCAGTACAGATGAGCTTGGGAAGAATGTGCTCCATAAAACGGAACACATGTATGATTCATGTTCCTGTTTTGGAGTATTTGCACATATCCAGCCAATTTATTTTTACAAAAATTTAATCACGTTCTACAAATCTTAGAATCTGAATCTGTATTTGACATTCAAAGACACATCAGGACAGGTAATTGAAAACTCATTAAAAATAGGACTTACTCTAGCCGTATTAGCAATTATTTGAGAAATCACGTGTTAAAGAAGTGTGCATATTTTATGTTTATAAAGCGCTCTTTACTGAATATATGTTGCACAACAGACTCATGTATGAAATACCCACCCAGCAAGGGAATGAAAGTTGCTTTGGATTTTTTAATCATGTCTCAGTTTTGAATGTTTGGGTTTGAAGATCCAATTTTCATGAATGAATCCCAGTGCCAAGGAAAGAATCTTGAGTTAATTTAACCGGTTTTTAAAAGACTAAATTTGACATTTAAGACTTACTGGCTTCTTCCCTGCCTTCAACACACACAAAGCTTTTTATGTTCTAGTCCTAACCACAGTTCACATTCTCACAAGGCAATACTGATATAAATCTTCCCTAAAATAATAAACAGGATGTTATTTGCACTAACAGAAGAAGAGTAACAGAAATACTGAAAGATTAAAACAATAACTGTAGCTTGTCATACACTAGATCAACTCGATTGTATGGCTCGATTTCTCTGTGGAAGTTTCCTACTCAATAGCCTAGTAAGATGAATACATTTTTCACTTACAAAATTCTGGGAAGATCACATTCTTTAGCAGCATGACTACCACATAATAATTGAATTTTAGATAGTATAGAAGCCTTACTGTTATTCCTCTTAAATATTGTAACAGCCTTATTTTTAACATATTGCAATGCCAGGAGATTAAAATTCCAATATAGAAAGTATTTTCAGGTAGATCTTATTACACCATATGAAATGAATAACCCACGCCAGCTGTTTCTAACCCAGAAAAGCAACAAATCCAGGAGACTCATCCAGTACATAATTTCCTGATTTTTTAAACAGCTGTAGAATGCCAAAAATAGGTGTTAAGCATGCTCAACCTCAAGGCAAAAATTCAAACTTCTTCTAGGGCATTTAACCTTGTTATGCTGATCTTCGAGATTATTTGAGAGCAGCCTTACTTCTCATCAACTCATACCAGGTTAATGTTTACCACATAAAATGGAGAACATAACACATCTAGGATACTCGCTTTTCTCTACAGAAAACAGGTATCAAGATTACTACCTCAAAAATAACGGAAACTAAACTGTTCCATCATTATAAACTTTCTACATGATTCTTCTCCACGTTCTACTCCTCAGACTAGGTGCTTGTGAATGACAAGTGTCAGATACTGGTAGTATGTATTAAGTAAAAAATGACCATTTATCAAGCAAAACATCTAGATTAGCTTGAAGAGTACTTGGTGAGTAGCAAGAGGCAAATACTATGAAAGAAACAAAAAAATCAGAAGCTTAAATTTCCTCAGCAATACTAAAGTATCTCACAGCTCAAGATTATCCTTCTTTATGTTAGTATTTTACAAGTGTTAATAGGCATTTCAGGGCATTTATGTTCATGTTTAAAAATTAATCGTCTCTATGCACTTATGTTATCAAATGTTCACACAATGACCTCTAAAAGTATAAGTAACAGAATTTCCATAAAAGCAGAACGTTTCTTATATTTTAGAAGAACTACAACGAGCTTTTTATGTCTGTTTTAGCCATGCATTATGGTCAACACCTGGTTCAGCTGAGGATGAATTTACACATTTATTTCCATTGAATGTTAATGAAAACGTATTAGAATACTTCCCACTATATTACTCCTATTTTATCTCCCTTCAAACAAAAATCCTCTTATTTGAAATAATACACTTAAAAGACTTCCACAATTCTGCCCTCTCAGATTTGATGCCTGTTTATCTACCTGTAGGCGGATATCATCTTAGTTCCCTTCTAATACATTGATAACTTTACAGGTGTTTCTCTCCAGCAGTTCACTGAAGGTGTGTATTTTCTCTTTTAGTATACAAAGTGAGATAATATTCTGTCCAAACATGATGACAGAGCCATTGCCCGATATGCTTTCCCAAATAAAGGTGTGTTAGCTTCAAAAAACAATACAATTTCAGAATGTAAAAGTGTGAAGACTGGGCATGAGACACATCAGTCAACACTTGCACATAGACACTGAAAATCAGGTAATTTTAGAGGTACCTCTGCCAACCAGTTCAGTATGTATCACATCCTCCAACACCTGCTTATTTTTCCAACTGCTCCTCTCATGTAGGCACATGTACATCCATTTAGATCTGGTCATTCCTCCAACTACTAAAATTTATATTAATAATCCCACTGAAGTGAAGTGATGACCTCAGGAATTTATACACAATTTGAGCAGGGGAGCCTGTGCTAGGCAGCATATTTAATTCCCGAAAAAAGGGATCTTTTTTTTACCTTCATACAGCGTCCAAGACAGCAAGGAAGTCAAATGTACAATGAGAGGTAACATTCATGCTTTGGTACAACTACGCTAATTGAGGATAGTCTTAGTAAGCAGAGCATACCGAGACAGAGCGTTAGCTACTACTCAAAGCACAGTACTTTCTTCCTTGGGAACTGGGAATATTGACTAAGCAAGAAATAATCTAAGATTGGACATTAATCATTTGACAAAAACTGAGTTGGAAATCATTTGACAAAGGGGACCAGAGAAAACACTTCTTACCAATGACTACAGAAATCAGAGGTATTCCAACAGGGGACCAAGTCAAATAAGATCTTAAAAGACTTAAACCCAAGACTGAAAAGTTTTGAAATCAGAGAGAAGGGAAAACATGCAGGCTTTTGCTGTTTTACATAACTGCATATTTCTGAGTTAGCCAAGTAAAGGATGATTGTCCTTTTAAAATCTGTCCCACACTCGCACATCTGCCTGCCTCAGTTCTCATCTATCCTCCCCCCCCCCCAAAAAAAGAAAATAGAAAGCACATTCGAGACTCTGGAAAAGATCTTTTTAAGCTATTGACAGTACAAATGAATCTCTGTAAGGACCTTAAGCCAGCTGAGTTGCAAGATCCCATTGTTATAAATGGCAACAGAGACCATATGTACAGGACGCATGCCAGAAATCACAAGGAAGAGAGGCAACAGGAGAAACACTCTCAAACTAAGAAAACCTTAAAAGTCAGTATGATGAATGACTGTGTCACAGGGTAAGGATGAAAAAACGCAGGTTTTTCTTTAACTAGCAAGTCACACATCTTTAAGAAAACAATATATGCTAAGAATATTAGTGATCTCTCTTCTAGTTTGTCTTTCTGTAGGAAGGAAAAAAAAATCTGCCTTATTCTTGGGACTAGAGTACTAGATTAGTTTACTGCTTAACAGCTGTGACTAAAGTATGCTGTTGTAGGAAAAATGTAATTGGGAGCATCAGAGTATACCCTTTCTAGTAAATGGAAATAATCTCAAACCTCATTACAAGTGCTTTTATCAATTTTAAGATATCCAAGTCTCCACTTTAAATGCTTCCTTGAATGTATATGCACTCACTGTTGCAGCTGGTGATGCTGCTTGGCTTTGCAGGTTTTGTGCTGTGGTGAGTTGGCCCTTCAGAGATGGTTGCTCCTGACATGGAATGTCAAAAAATGAAGACTAACTATGAAATTCAAAACTCTATGACATGTAGGTAGGGAGAATATATTTTCCATGTATGCTAAATAACAAGTCCACTGTATTTTATCATTTTGCTCAAGAATTTTGGGGGACTAACTATGTAATGCTGCCATCATCTGGCCTTCCTCATAACAGCATGAAAACACGAGTATTGCCATACAAAAGTGTTCACACTCATTACTACATTAATCTTTTTGGTTTTGACAAAGTAAAAAAAAAAAAAAAATACCAGCCATCTTTCATATTCCTCCATAGCCTTTTTATTTTTTTCTTCCTTCTTTGCCTGTTGTATTTCTTGCTTTCTTCTCTCTAGGATTTTTTCTGCTTTCTTCTGTTTCATATATTCTCCCTTTTTTTCATTCCTGTATATTGAGAGGGAAGAACAGGAGATCATCATGTAACAGACTAAATGCTGCATCTGTAACTGATTAACTAAATTGAGTCAAAAGAGATATTTTACGCATTTAATAAAAGATCGAGAATATATATTCAAAATCTTCAAAGTCCATCTTTATATATTGTATCACCAAGGTATAAATGAACCTACTATTCCATCTGTTACAGCATCACCTTTTCTGTACCACTTTCTCCCTTATTTGGCATCATATAAAAATTACATTCAAAAATTCTGTGGGTAATAGTAAGTTGCACATGGTCTGTGAAAACTCTTGGCTTGTAAAACTAACAAAGAATTTCTCCAGCAGGCACGTCTCATTTGCTTCTGAATACATCCACATTCATACATTGTATTCCACAAAACTTAAGATAAAGATTTACCTTTCTTCCTATGGTTTAGTAATGAAGCATGAGACTAATCACATAAGGCATTATACTATTCAATGAATCTTACTTCTCAGTTGCAGTGCCTCTGCCTGGGCTTAGTCAGTAGCCTTTTGGGAGGAAAGCATTTAAAGTTACTAAACTGAAAGAAGCTGTACAGCTTGTTCTCATTGTTACACTTGTTCTCCATTGGGACTGAAGAGCCTGATCCCAAGCATGCCATTGTCTCCCAATTAAAAGCACATCAAGCACTCACAGAAGACCTATTGCATGTATAAGCAAAGATTTGGGAAACTATATTCCAAAACCCAGTGGAGTAGTACCATTTTTCAACTGCTGACATGCTGTCTCTCTTCTTCTCTGCAACCAGTTCCTCTTCTTTCTTCTTCCTGATTCTTTCAGATTGTTTTTCCTTTCTGCTTTGCTCTCTTAAATACTCTGCTTTTCTTGCTTTCCATTTTTCGAATGCCTAAAGAAAACCAGAGATTCATTAGAAATCTTACCCCTCACCTTTTTGTCAATGCTCCACTTGCTTATACTGTATTATTATTTTTTGTAATTTCTACACATTCCAATTTTGGAATATTTGTTTGTGGCATTGCTCAGAAGTGGGTATCACTATACCTAAAAAGAATAAATTATTTTTTCCAGTAAGTAATAGTTCATTGCCAATGTATTTATATGGAGTTTATTTCACGTGCAGTTAATAGAATCCAAATATGGAAAAATGCCTGTTTGTGTGCCAATGTAAACATTACATACTTCCAACAGAACAGAATCTAATATGAGCTCTCCTCAAATATTAACCATGTTTAGATTTTAGAATCTAGTTCATTTCCATCTCTTGCTGGATAAATCAAAATAATTCTCAACAATCTCCTGAACCATATCTGATACACATTTATGTACATATTTCGCATCACCTTCTGTGCTGCTTCTGTTTTCTCCTCATTCTGTTCTGCTGCGTTCTTTGTCTTAAGTTCCTCAAGCTTCTTTTTTTCACTTAACTTCTTTGCTTCTCTTCCTTTCTTTTTTTTCCAGGCTTCAAAAGATGCAATTGCTTCCTGTCTTTTAACGGCTTCTTTCTAGATTGAAAATAACAGTCTTACATTTAAGTACACTTAAATATAAAACTATAATTGAAATAGTATGCTTTAAACTAATTGTCAAATGTAGGACTAGATGGAGCAATAAAGAAATGGAAATCGATTTGCAGACAACATTCCAAGTAATACTCAAAATTAAATTTGAACTATCTAGAGCGGTTTTTTTCCTATGCTCATTTTTAATTTAACTTAATCGAATGAGACAAACTACTCCTGCAAACTATGTGTAGAAGAATATGAAATACATGTTAAATGCTTAGAAGCGAAAAATATTAAATACTTAAAAGCCAGATCTAAGAATTGTGTACGGTACTATTCAAAATACAGTCCTCTGTAGATAAGCATCTCGACGTAGGGAGCAAACTAGCTTTCTAACAGATGACAAATTAAAACTTAACACTGAAGGGTTGAGCATCCCAAGGTCTTTGTAAACAAACCTGAAAATTAATCTAAGAAGTACACTTTTAACATACCTTACGTAAATGCGTAGGGAAGCATCAGCCACACACCCTTTACAGCAACCCTAACAAGTGGGACGTGACATTTACTGTTTCAACTCACCTCACGCTATTTTGAGAAAACCAGACACCTTAGTATAGCAGTGATGTAATTAGGCAGAAAGCACAGGTAAGCATACTTCAAAGAATTATAGTTTGTCAACTGCTTTTTAAACAAGACTGTAAACAAACCTTTTCAGTATCGTTCCTTAGATTTTCAGCTTTCTTCTTTTCAATTCTCTTTAATTCCAGTAGAAAGACCCTTTTCTTTTCCAACCAATTCTGTAAGAACCAGTAGAAGACTTTTATACTTTTAAAGTCTTTTTAAGGCATAACTAAAAAAATTATGTTAAAACAACCAAATATTATTAGAGCAGCACCAATATAATAACCACCAAAATTACTCTTAATTCTTCCATGTGCTACTTAAATAACCACCCCATGCGGAAGACTAAGGTTCTAAAATCATAGTTACAAAATACGAAAAAGCTTAAAGATCTTTAAAACAAAAAAATCTTTAAAAAAACACCAATAAAATGTAAGCATTAAAAAAGTGAAAAAGAAGAATGGAATAAAGATTCTATCACTTGGTATATAGGAATATTATTTACATTTATTGTCCCTCTTGAAAATACCTATAATTAAAGAGAATAAAATCCAACTGGGAAGAGTGAGACTTCAGGCACCCATAAAGTGTTACCAGCCATTTGCAGAATCAGGCTTAAATTTTCAAGGTTTAATTATATACTTGGTATGCTGCTTAGAGATACAAGTGTTGTAAGTGAAGCCTATTTTACCTTTAAAAATTATGGAGACAATATAAATATGGATTTGAGGTTCTAAATTTTGTTCTAGAACCATAACAAGTATTAAAAACACATACCAATATGAACAGCATCTGTTAATGAAATGTTAATGATTTTTCTCACACAGATTAGTAGCAAAAATCTGTTGGAACCCACAAACTAATCGTTATGAAATTCTACACAGAATCCACAGATTACCCTTCTGGAGAGAATATTAGACTTGTTTCCACTTTTCCTGAATGCTAACTGAATAGAACATACCAGGAAAAGGAACTTTAAACTACACACTTACTTACGTTAAGGAAGAAGTAGAAATAAAGGAAAATATTGTATGTGTCTGAAAATAGTCTGACACAATAAATTATGAACCACGGTATATCCCTCTCATCTAGCTTTTTAGTTCATAATTTGATGAAAAGGCATAGCCAACAGAATAAAAGGATTATTACACCTGTAAGCACATGCAAGGAATATACTCAGAAATCTTGATTTCAAGAAGATAAGAGGTGTTGACTCCTATAACAGGACCTTTATATGCGTAGTTTTGTTGGTTGTTTTGTTCATTTTTTGTTTGTTTTTAGGATCTACCTGGAAAACAGCTGCTCGTAAACTATCTGCTTTGTCAAATTTTGTACTGTTTTTCTGCACACGTTTATCCTCCAACACCTTTAATGTTCCCAGATATTGAGATGAAATAGGTGCAGCTGATGGAACAGCTTTTGCCTTTTTCTTTAAGTGCGCAGAAGACAGAGACCTATAAAAATACCAAGACACAAACATATTAATGATTTTTCCCTTTATTGTAGCTGATACCAAGTAGTGTTCCTTTTACTTCAGCGTATACCAAAAGTTACTGTGATTCCATTTTTACATGCACTTGGCTGGGGATTGGGGAAAAGGAAAGGAGGAAGAAGCCCATTTTCTTCTGAGGGCTTTACTATTGCCAAAACAAGCCACTACTCAACATATTCAGCCCCAGACAGTGTACAAATTCCTTATACTTTCATCTACAAAACAACTTAAAACATGTAAAGACATCACAGACTGGATTCATTGGTGGATCCAGTAGCACACACTCATCATAGACACTGGCAAAAGACCTGGAGTCTGATCATACATAACCCTGAGCAAGGGTTATAATGACACGCCACATTTACTAAACTGTTTTCTACGGACAGTCAGAGGTTGTCAGCAGTGAAGACGATGCTGAAAGAAAATGAGAGTGAAGCAGCATTGTCAGGGTATTTACATGCATCATACACTCTACAGACTGTGAATCATAGCCTCTTTCTCTTACCTGTCAGATAAAGAAGCTTTTGGGTTTTTTAGAACTCTCTCCATTGTTTCATCTAGTTTCTAAGAAACACAGAGGAAAAGTAAAATTATAGAGTCTCTCAAGCAACAGAACTAGATCAGGACAAAACAGGTTTTTACAAGCTAACAAGGATGTTGGGAGTTGGACTCGATGATCCTGATGGGTGCCTTCCAACTCGAGATATTCTATGACTCTGTGATGTTAGAAAAATATGCAAGAAAGCTACTCTAATATAGAAAGGGTACAATACAGGGTAAGAAAGTAAAAAAAAAAAAACAAAAACCCAACCAACCAACCAAACTTTCAGAATGCCTGTATCTTTTTGGCCTGACACCTAGAAATGTTTCTTTATATTATGTAAAAATATAGTCTATAGTTTAGAAATACAAAGGAATAAAAAGAACCCAGCTAGGCAGTGGGCTTCCCTGTTATTATATCAACACTGTTTTAACTGTTTTTAATATTTAGCTTTAACAGTTACATATATCTACATATTTTCTTTCTTATGATAAAGCATAAAGTGCTTTGCATCTTATCCATTATTCAAGTCACACCATGGATTCCATCCTCTGCTAACATACACTGCTCATTCCAATTCAGCTAACCTCACCAATAGAGATTTGACATTTTCACTTGGATAAGGGTATTTCATTAAGATTGGAAAACACACATTTCAATACCTTTATCCGGTTTAAATGATTTGTGTAAAAGGTATTCCCTACATCTTCCGTAAAACTATACGGAATTTGGAAGAGCCCCAGCTCTAGAAGCCAGAGATAAATTGTCAGCTTTACAGAGTTCTACACATTTAAGGTACCAACAGTAACTATACAAAACTTTTCACTGTGTTTCTGGGACACTGTTCTGAACAATGGTAAAAACGCATGAGTAATACCTTGGCAGAGTCCTTTGAAGTGTTCTTTGCCTCCCCATGCTCAGACTGATCATTCACTGATACCTCCTGTACTGTATCAGTTACTATTTGCCCTTCCACTATTTTCACCATTTCATCTGAACTGTCATCTGTTGACTTCTCTAATTTCTTTGTTTTCCCATATACTGTGGTCATCATTACTTCTGTCACAGAAGGAGATTTTCTGCCGTTGTCCTCCAGCTTCAAGTCACTGGTGCTGATCTTCTTCTGATCTTGATCTAATAGGAGAAAAAGGATTGAGAGGACACATTAACAAGAATTTCATTGTTTCTCAGTATTGTTATTTCTGTACTAAAAACATCTGTTTATGAAATATATTACTAAATTTGATATAACATAATGTATTTTCTGTATACTTTCTCCTAAGAACTATATGGACTAATAAGAAGAGTATTCACTTGTATTGTATTTAAATGTAAGACTGGAGTAGCAACTGAAGTTTTAACAAATGTTATAGAATGTGTGAGCATGACAAAGGCAAAACCTCCCGTCTGCCTCACCACCCAAACATGGTTCTCGTGCAGAAACCAAAAGCAAGAGCCATTGCAATCAGAGCAAGAGCTCTTCTGACATCTAGCAAACTACTAATGAAGTCTGTACAACAATTTGGGTAACAAAAACTATTTTCATTGTGTGGTGTTTTTCAGGGCTGTGGGGACACACAAGGAAATAACGGAAAGATTCTGCGGTGAGGATTTAAACAAACATGACCTCAATTTAAACGCATGCCTAAGTGGTGAAATTGTCATTTATGAAACACTTTATTAATAATACTTAAAAAACATTTTTAACAGATCTGAACTGCCATTAATGCAGTGATCTCAATTTGTAAAACAATTCAGACAGAAACCAAAAAAGGCCATGGTAAATTCCAAATTACAGTCTTCCACAACTTTCTGATGGAATTCTTAAAAGAAATACAAGTTGTGGATGAGAGATTAACTCCAAGTTACCTGAAGAAAGGAATATCAGTGCTGACAATCTAAGAAATTTAACCTAGATTTACAAAGATGAAGGTAAATTCTAGGTGAGAAGGTGAATTCTGAATTTATATGAACCATTTTCTATCCTGTGTTGATATGTAAACTTTCATATTTTACTTTACACTTACGAGATAGTACAACTGTATATAAACCACAGGCATCGGAAACTGTACAACTCTAAGCTGCAGCACTTAGTGCACAGGACACCGGAGACAGCCGATTTACGTCTGGCTATGCACACTTTGTAGCATGAACTTCACAGAACTTCACGTGCAAGTCAGCTTGGCTCTGTTTGCAAATTGGATACAAAATACTAACCTTCCCATGGTTAGCTGAAAAATGCTACATAAAACCTGTAAGTATTATTATTGTAGTTCCTTTCTTGGCAGTTCAAGCTATACAAGTTTGATCAGTCTGCTTGGAATTCTTACACTTGCACACTTCAGCATCATATTTAAACAATCTTTTCCAATCCCTTTTCCTCCGCTTTTGTTGAAGACTCCGTATCATTGTTGTTTCTATGTCCTTCTTTGTCCTGACACCACCACCTTTATAATTTTCTTCATCTTATGCTGTCCCTGCACTTGGAGAATCTACCCATTCCAGTACACTGATGCTCATATCCTTTTCCCCATACAAACTCTCCTTAGACATTGTTTCATTAATGATGCTTAAAAGCATCAAGCTATACCAAACAGATTTTCTAATCCAAGGTATCAGCAAAATATAAAAAAGAACTGAAATGAAACACAGATTAAGCATATTTGTTATTTACTACTCAGTACATTGCCTGAGTTTTCAACTTTTGTTCACCTTTCCGTACTAAATTCTTCAAGCCAGGTCCTATCTTTTACCTCATTAGGCTGCAGCATATGGACATTACATAGGCCATACAGACAGCATTTTTCTTGCTGCATCTGGCAGTCTACGTTACCTACCTGTTACAGTCCTGCACACAGCAAATTACCCCCCAGCATGATTCCCTTAGCAAATTAAAAAAGGTGTCTAACAGCCTATTCCAGAGTTTTTCAACCTGGGGTCCATGGATTTTTGGTAACCAGTCTGAAAAAGTGGACTAAGAAAGGTAAGTTCAATGGATACTGCTGAGAAGCCCACAGATTTGATATTTCTTAAAGGGTCTGCAAATTCCCTAAGAACTGTTAAGGATTCACAAATCCAAAAAAAACAGAAAAGTGCTACTTAGTTTGTATTACCTTTTGTGGAAAAGGTGCAGGAAGAAGTGAAAGATTTGCCCTAGTCATGTTGACTGCATAAGAGGAAGTGAAATTAAAATTATTTCTTTTAAGTCTCAAAGATGCTTAGACAATGATGCATACACTTGACATTAGTCAAAGTAGAAAAACTAAATTCTCAAACTTTAATCTCTTCCTCTCCATTCCTGGGATGCCTTTAAGGCCAAATTTCTCAATACCTGGGATGATACTTGGACATAACCACAAGAATGAGGCTGGGCCACTCTCAAAAACAGAACAGGAGGAGACACAAGGGCATGAGAAAGATACTAAAGGAGAGTAGAAAGGAAATTAAGAATGCCACTGAGTTTTAAGATTACTTATATTGGACCATTAGATATTACTAAGGTATAAATGGTAACATTCATCAGGTTGTATGTATCTAAGTTCTACCTTTTGCAGGTGGTGCTTCTCCACACATCAGTAAATTGGAGTCTCCAGATTTTTCATTGTGGGAAGTAAAATTAACAGAAAATGGTGGTGAAGTACTTTCTAGCCATGGACCCTTAGATCAGAAAGTGACAAGTAAACAAGTGAGCAATTAATAACAAATCAGAATAATTTAACTTGACTTTATAATACTTCGACAGAATGCTTGTTCAGAACTCTCTAGGAGAAGTATAATTCTTGTTTTACATTTGGAGAAATAAAACTAATCAGCAAATAAAGCTGCAAATGATCACAAAATCCCATTTCTACTTAGAAAGAAAAAGAATGATGTTCTCTTATCTGCCCCTCATCATAAGAATGCTACTGGCAAAGACATTTTTTCCCACTCCTATTTTTGTCCTATTTTTCTCCCAGAAAATTTTGTCAGCTAAATAAAAAGTTAGTTTCAAAAGTTTCCAATGTAGATGGTAAAAAAAAAAAACCAAACCAAAAAACACCCCAACACATATACTCTCTTACTTCAGGACCAGGGCTTTCGGCAAGCAATTTTTTCTTGGGTGTGGCTTGGGCATTCAGAGTAGTTAGGGATGATGGTGCTGAAAACGAAGACAATCCATTTCTAGAAGTTATTTTTCCTTCTGACCTATTAAGTTCATTGTCTTCCACAGGACCACTTTTTCTCAACATACTTCTTGGTTGAGGTAATGGTTTATAACAGCCATCTAATGAAAGAATGCTGATATTCTCAGCTGAAAATAAGTATTATAGTTTCATTTATGCCTAGTTAAAGACATTTTAGTCTGCAACACTATTTTATCAAGTTAGATTGAACTAACTATTTTCAATTACATGAGCTATTTAAATAATAGCACAGCTTTCTTAATACAGTGAGGCCACATACAGACAGCTACATAAAGAGTTACAGCCACTTTTTCAGAAAGTTTACTGAAAGTTTTAAAGCTTCTAATATAACCTCTAAATAGACAATTGATTATCTCTGTGTATATATTGAAACTACATTCAAGAGCTCATCTGCAATTAGAGAGACAGCGTTTTCATAAATATAGAAGAGAGCACATGTCTAATACAGCACTGTTGTAAGAAAACACTTCTTGATATTCTGCTTGTCCCTTTATCTACTAGAGAAAATACAGAGGGAAGACTGCTTCTCTCCACACGGTGCAGAACAGAATAACCTCGGGTAGGAGGAGACATCATGAGAAATGCAGTTGAAGAGGAGGGCTTTCAGTATATTTCTAGCTTCTTCCGTGATGTCTCCGTTCCTTCCCTAAGGCAGCCACCGGGCAGCAGAACCACCACGCAACGGTTTCTTACAGATTCCTATCCTCTGGCTCCTCACCTTCCTCCTTTTTAGTAATTCTATCTTCTTCATGTTTTCTTCCCCCTGCCCTGCCACCAACAAGATCAAGCCACTCAATGGCTTTCTACCTGCCTTTTTCTTTACGTATGCCAGTCCACATAGAAATGCGTATCTAATGCACATTGCCATGGAAGCATTTCTTATTAACTCCTAGTTCATACAAATCTATCGCAGGAAATGGGAGAATCACCATGCCTATCCAGCACACTCAGCTGCGTGAAGTCTAATCATACAATTACTGTGACATTTAGAGAGCTAAGAGGTCACAACAATATTCCTGCAAGTGCACTGACAGTTTTTCCATGCACCAAATCACAAGAAAAATCAAAGGAGCAGAAAAAGCTCATTAATCTCTGGATAGTCATCTCCTCTGTTGGACAGAGATCAATTTATCTACTATAAGAAAGCTTACAATGGTTGACTACGGAGGACAATATGCTAATACCACTATACTACTTAGATTCACATGAAGAAAAGGAGTACTTCAACTCTTTTCTACCAGTCTAAAACTACACAAGCATACTGGCCATGAAAGAGATGCATCTGCAGTGCCCAGCTGCACACTGAAATATCTAGCACTTTGGTGCCATCACGTGGGAAGAAAAAGAGGACCTGATATCACCAATCATGCTCTACCAATTTCAAAGTTGTAATATTCCATCACAGGTAATGACCAGCCATAAATTTCTCGCAACATCAAACAGGACAAATTCTTCTCATATTAGGAAGTAGATAAAAAAATATGAAGTCTTTTGACATTTTAAATTTGTAAAAGCACATATAGTCAATCAGCAGAATTCCAAGTTCTGCTTTGCATATTAAAAATGAATTAGCTAGTCTTATAATGAAACACTGAAGTTCTTTTTTCACGTTTGACTATACCTCCAAAGTGGCTCAGTATCTTCAAAGTAAAAGATCATTTGAAGTTTTAACTTTGTGATGATGAGAAGTCTACCATTCATAAATGTTTTGGTTACAGCTCATTTTATGACATTCTATTACCTTACAGTACCATGATGTCTCAGCATCACGACTGCAATGTTATTATTTGCGACCACTGTGGTCCAACTTCACTGGTCACAGAGAAGGGATGCCTAATTAAGGACCTTTCCATTAAAGGGTGCATGGATGCTGTGGACACTGTGTGAATATGGCTTTCTGTACTATGCACACACAGAGGAAGCAACTCTGTCGCCCTCCCACGCGTTCCATGGACATGCACTGATGGAGAGCTGGACTTTAAGTACCCAAACAGCTATTTTTCATCTCCTGAAAGGAAAAGGCAAATAGGAACCTTCTGCTACTTGGTCCACACTGGTTCAGTTTACCCCCTGGCAGCTGGAGGTTATCAAAACATGTGTTTTTTAGAAGAATATTGAATAAATTCCCTGCAAGCCAAAGCCACTGATACTTAACACAGAAAATAACCCAAATTACAACATTTCAAAATATTGTAATATGGCTAAGCAACAACATTCAAATGCTTTCTTTTCACCTGATGCTGAAGCATTTCTTGTTTTGTGCACCCGTGGCTTTGGTATTGGTTTGTTTTCCTCTTGATTTCTTTTTTTCTGTGGTTCACAAATAGGCAAGTCATTATCGCGGTCACTTTCAGTATTATCACATGGTACTTCTTCAGCAGCTGAACACTCTTCATTATCTTTTCTGTCATCACCCTCATTTTGATTTTCCAAACATTCTTCTTCGCCATCTTTTCTGTCATCCTGTATGTTTTCACTTTCTAAGAGCATTAGTCGCTGAAGCTTCTTTTCATGAAAGGATAAAGTCAAGTCATCAGCAGCTTCATTTTCCAAATCTGCTGCTTTTTGTGAAGCATCATCACCTGAGAGAGAACTCTCAACAGTGACTGATTTCTTAGTGTTTTCAGCACCTGAATTACTTTCATTAAGTTCTTCCCCAATACCTGAAAATAGCACATTATCAACTTCCATTTGAGACAAGTGGAAAAAAATGGGACACAGAAACTCTATCTTCTATAATTTAAAAGTATTTTTCATATAATACTCTCCTGCCTTAAGTCTCTGAGCATTTCTCTTTCTGCACCTGTGATCTCTGCAAAGCCACCAAACTAGATCCCTATTCTACTTCCTTTCCTGTCATTTGTTTCCATGGACGCCATCCAAAGAAAATTCTTCAAATATTCACTGGTTAATTCTTATCTGTCATGCAATTTAAATTTCTTCTAAAAAACTATGTTTCCAATGCCATAAGAAGTGGTAGCAAGTCAACAACAACAAAGCTAGGCACATCTGGTTACCAGAATCTATCCTCCCCTTCTATGCTCTTCACTTTTGTCCCATCTGAAATCCACTAGAAGCTACTCAAAGGGGTATCTGCTCCAGTGCTAAGGTTCACATTTTTAACAAAAATATTTTTATCTTCTTGTAGCCTGTTATTTCTAACTGACTTGATTTCAGAGTTTAAATTCTCAAGGAAGATGACAAAAGAACGTCATGATAGTTGAGTAACATTTTTAATGCAGGAGGAGCTTTTTTCTAAATCTTGTCAGCAAAGGGAAATCAAAGCATCCCATGACCTTTTAAAAGATGTTTCAGATGGGAATAAAAAGCAGGGCACAGAGGAATTCCTTTTAAAAATACATTATGATATTTAAGATTCATGTTTCCCTTAACATGCAGCACCGTATCAGGAGGAAGAAGAGCCATTCGGCCAATCTCGTTAGGCGAAACACAAACATTACCAAATATCAAATGCATCCTGGCCCAAGAAAAACAGCCAGATCAAACCTGTTCCTGGTTCGTGTACACTGCCAGGCAAGCATGCTCTGCAGTGTGTCCTGCAGCCCTTATTCACCGATTGTCCAGACTGGGAAAACAGCAAGACAACAACACGGCTTTCTCTCTGCCCGTGTCCACTTCCATTCACAGTACTGTGCGCTACTGTCTCATCCAGGTGTAGAGTAAGTAATACAGCTAAGGAGGAAAACTGGGCATCACAACTGTAGGAAAGAGCACAGACTCCGTCTGGTCTAGCAGGTTGGCACCACCGCTGATTTCACTGGGAATTCTACTCCTAATTTGGAAGAGGAAGACTAAGTGATTTAGAAGTTGTTAAAATATGAAATCTTGGAACATTGAATCATATTGACTCACAAAGATTCTCTGTGATCTAGCAGTGACTTAAGAAAGGGAAGAACACGAGGAAAAATATTTAATTCTGTCTTACCATTTAACATGCCATCTTCGTCACTCTCAAAGTCATCTGAGTATTCAGCTGTTTGCTCTCTTGCTGCATGAGCAGAAATTGCTTCTTGTAGTGCATCCTAAAATGGTTTCACAAAAAACTTTTACACAGAAGGGAAGATTCACTTCATCAAGTTCAGCACTAATTACCCCCTCCCACACTGAAAATGATTGTGAAGGATAAGTAAAATCCAGTGTTTTCATTCTATCATCTTTCCCCCAATTTTACTGTGTTTAAAAAAACCTGCCGTGTATTAATTTCTATTTCTTCTTCCTAAGAAACATATCTTGCAGATCCCTCTTCCATTTTTGACAATAATGACATTGTATCATCACATGACACTTTTTCCCCCTTTCATATGTTTCGATTGGCAAGAGTACAACAAAAAGGTCTGTACAGCCACGCGTGATAGGGAAGGTAAGCAGGGACTACCTCTTCGCTGACTGCTGCAGTACAAGAACCTGAAGCAGGTGGCAGGTCCACAACAATGGAAGAACTTCACGCAAGCCACCGCTCGTATTTTGGACTCTCTGCTGCACGACATCACGGACACACCATGTTTACATGGGTTCTGAAAGCAACTGGCCTTACTTACAGGTTAAAAGTACATTACGAAATGCAGCAGTATCTCCAGATTGGAAGGCCCTGAGCCACAAACCACTGAAGGCTTGAGGGAAGGTTGCTTGACACCGGTCTTGCGCTCTTCCCGAGGCACCTGCCGTTGGCCACTGCTGGCCCTTTAGCCAGAGCCATTTTTGCAGGACTATCGGGAACAGAGAAGTCAGGCTGTTCACGTCTTAGAGCGACTGTTTCCCAGGTTTTGCACGGGGAGCAGCTTCTAGTGTCCACGCAGAAGGAAACCTGCTTCCCAGTTTTCATTTTGATAGCAAATCGGCTTTTTTGTGTGTGTTGTCTTTAACAGCAAATTACTGTATTCGCGGTCGCAGAAACCTGTTCGCAGAGAAGCGCCACCGACGCCGTTTCCCGGCCCCACCGGCAGCTCTCCCCGCCCGCGGCCTGCCGCCGCCCCCGCTCACCTGCAACGCGCTG